ATAAAGGCAATAAAAGCCCCCAAAAATATACTTAAAAAAAAATAAATAAAAATAGTGTGTTGCTAACAAGTAGCTAAATGAGTTATCATCACGCCGAACAGTTTTCTGGTGACATTGAGTCATAAAAGTGGTTCATTTATACATTCACATTATAATAAACCTTTCATTGCTATAGAGCTTTTTTTTCTGCAGTAATCCCATTGGCTTTTTATTGACAGAACAGGGCGAGGCTAACTGTGACCATTCGTTACATAACCAACAGTCCAGCTGTAATATGCACAAAAAATAGAATATGAAATCCATATACCGCATCAGTAAAAACCTGTGAGGTACGACGACCTTTGCTACAAACAGACATAAAGCGTTCAGACAATAAAGTGACTGTGACATGGATCAATGTTTCCAGCATCAAAAAGCTCTGATAAACTCACAGTACTCTATGTGCCCAGCACTAGACATCAGTACTCTCAGTACTCTATGTGCCCAGCACTAGACATTGGACCTATATTTCTCAGGCAGCCAAAACCACTAATATTATGTTTGCAGCTGTTTTTCAACATGCATAACAACTTTTTATGGTGATAATCTCATAATAATACTAAAGATCGTCAGTTTATTATGAACTTTTCTGCCCCCAAGTGGCCAAGAGATAACCGATGCAGCTTTTAACATCAATAGAACACCAGCACCAGTATAAATGCTTTGTACCTGTAACCACACCCAACAGTCATGCAACAATGTCCTGGAGGACATGTGGATCATTACAGTGAGACATTAAACCACTGGAGGTCAGCAAAAACAAGATTTTCATGTGGTGTTGTTGTGTTGCAATATTCACTTTGATTATCTGAGCCTTCCATTAACCCCCCCTTTCATCCCAGCTTTGTTGATGAATAACTCTGGTTTATTGACAGCGATGTTTGATACATAACAACCCAGAAACCCATAATAATGCCTCAAAATCCTGTTGCACAATATGTCTAAAAATCACCTCTAGCTGTGGGCTCCACCCTCTGAAAGCTGCTATGTGAATGGCCACAGTTTCATGGGTTTGAATCCCCTTCATGACCTTTGTCAAATGTCATCACCGCACTGTCTCTTCAACCTTATACCATCTATTATAGGAAAAGCCATAAAAATAATCTTTACTATCATTGGTAGTCAGAGAGGAGAATCACCACCTCATTACCACCCCTGTCTGATGGGCTGATTATGGGATGGAAGGAGCTCTGCAACAGAGCTGAGCCTGGGGCGTCCTCGTGGCACAGTCTGCTAATGGCTGCATGGGGTTGAATTGCAGCTCATTCTACACTGTTGCATCTCTCTCCCTTCACTTCTCTGCCACTTCTCTTCACTTTACCTGTAACCAAAAAAGGAAAAGGAAATTAAATACTCATAAAGCTGGATTGTCCTCTCTCCTTTTCAATAAAAAAGACCAAAAAGCTGGTTGAATCTATCAACGAGAGCAGTTGAATCTCACTCAATTATGTCCTGTTACCTCCCTGGATTCTTTTAATGATCCCACACAGACAAAGAACTGTGATCCCACAGTGAAACACCCTGTGATGAAATAGACCATTGTGTGTGTCCTAGCCCCAATATGCTAATCTAGGATTAATTATGGGCCAACCCTAATGAGTATCTCTCTCGCCCTCTTAGATATGTAAATGTACCAGCAGTGGACAGCGTTGAGAGGCTTTTGTTAACTCTGTGTTCTATAAAAAAAAGGCAGGACAGGACCAAAAAAGACAAGGAAAAAGGTTTAGTGGCCTTAGATTATTAATTTAAAGATTAAGCTGCCAGGAGCAGAGATTATATTACAATGTTAAGACAGACTGTACAAGTTACATAAAACAACGACAAACTGACCCAGACCCATGTGATATTACTGTTCACCATCAATGGATACCTGTCTCCCTGACAGCATGGGTGGTGAAAATCTTTTTCAGCTTACTAATTAACAGGAAGTGTGAATATGGGCAGAACCAGGCAGACCAGAGGAAGTGTGCTATGGTGACACTCTAATCCTCTTTAGTTGAAAAGTGAGAGAGAGCAAGAGAGAGCGAGAGAGAGAGAGATTTAAAAGATTTTTGTAGTTTCCAAAAAAAGAAGATAATATGCTGTTTCAACAGTCAGACTCCTAAGCAGTTATAGAAGGGGACCTTACGGATATATTGCGCATATATAATGCCGTCAAGTAAAAGTACAAATGCAACATTGTTAACAAGTAGCCTAAATGTGGATGCAAAATGTATTTAATCTTTATTTGATGCAAAATTTAATCAAAGGAGACATACTACCTATACAATATAATGCAATCTAAGGCAACAACACATACAGTAACAGACTCAATGTCTCGCTGACACAGTCAACAACAAACATTAAACATGCTGTATCCTCACAAAACTACAGGCTTTATTGCAGAGATGCAGATTGTACATCCATTGTATGAAATATGTTGTAAACTATCCTTTTGTTTGCCTTATATATCAACCACAGTGCCAAAAAGTAGTAAGGATAATTAAGATAGGACTTTATTCCCCATGGAAATGCACATGTTCCAGTACAATAAGTTGTCTAAAGAAGTATATAACAGGCAAATAAGTATTTTAAATAGTTAGACATTAAATAACAACAAATTAAGCAAGGAAGGAATTAAGGAATTAAGCAAGGGCAATCAAAATCTATATATATTATCCGTCCTTAACCGTTTCATATGTTTAAATTCTAACAGGGGAGTGGTATTGTTTAAGTGTTTCTGCGTGTGTGTGTGTGT